CTTTTGGCTGCAGTCTTAGGTAGGAAATACAGAAATAGCAATTGAAAGACTGAATTTTGTTGTACACAGCAACCTCAGCATTAAAGCTGCAATTTTGACTTAGCCAGAGCTGAAATACATGAACATTATTGGATACGTCCTTGAGCTCTGAAAAGGGAGGTCTGGAATGAGAACAAGTGCGGCTCCTCTGGAGAATGTGGGAAGGCAGCCTGCAGAAAGGCGTGTCTATACGTTACGTTGACCTGTCTGTTGTGAAAATAGGGAAGAAAGCAAATCATTCCCAATTCTGCAGACGTTCTGACAGCTAAAGTAGGCATTAACAATTTGAAACACATGGCATGGGGGGTGAAAGTCTCTGAGCTCTACAGCTGAGACTTTCCTGGCTGAAATGAAGTAGCAGTTGAAGGTAGCTCAGAGAAAAAAAAAATATTTTTAATCTACCATATCGGGACAAAATACCTAACATTACCAAAAACTGGAGAAAAAAATACTGACACCACTCAAAAATAGTACCACTCCTGGCTTTAATTCTGAATAATTCTGTGGGTTTTGGGACTTTATAAAGGTGATTTTCCTGACAAAGAAGGATCAAGTTTTAGTATATATGTTTCTGCAAATTTAGAATAATCTCCTGTCATTTTTAATGAATTTGGTATGTAAAAATAATTTTGTTGATAATATATTGATGCAGAACTAGTAATTTTAGACTTTGATTGGCACAAGAGCTGGAAGAGTCAGACAAAGGTTCTGCTGGACTTGCCTGCAGAGCGCTCTTCAGCCTCAGCCATGCTGGTCAGGAAGAGGGTCAGGAACAAAAGCAGGAAGATTTACACAGTCAAATCTCTGGGCAGTGAGAACTGTTGTTTCTTACACTGAGCTCTTCTGATTCACACCAGAATTCCTCCAACTGTTTTTCTTGCTTAGACCTTCAGAGGGAGGGAAATGAATTTTTATGAGTAAGTCTGAACTAGAATAAGTTTAGACAGAGAAGTAGCAGATAAATGTTTTCAAAAGCTGTTGTTATAATTTACATGAATTAAAGATGTGGTCAGGTATATTTGGAGAGACATCAAGTTTCTCTAAGACGGAAAACAGAATCAAAACCACACAAAAGAATGCAATTGCTAAGAAAAAATGATCAGCTGGAAGGAAATACATATTTGAATTTTGAGTATTTTTCAGTAATTCTCTGTAATTGCTATAGCAGCAAAGGCAATAAGTAAGTTGTGACATTTTATGTTGAATTTGAAAATCATTTTTATTTAAATTTTGTAGACAGAAGCTAACATCTTCACCACTGTGAATGTGAAACTGCCTTCTTCACTATTTAAACTGCTTGCTTTTGATTTGATTTCAACTAATAATTCTTAGAAGAGTACTCTCTGTCGACATAGCCATTGCTAAGTGTTGAATATAATGGAGATAAACAATTTTATTAATTTTGAGGTTGTGGGTAATAATAATAATAATAATAAACTGTGATGTGGAAATGAAAGATGTGGGGAGACACTTTATGATATCAAAGACTGTGTCATATCCAGATGACCTCCATTAGATTTGACCTTCCAGTTGGGTTTGATAAAGGTATTCATTTCTTGTCTTCACGGTCTTTATACTGGCATTCCCTTTTCACATACATTTAGGTTATGGAGTTCCAATTAAATTTAAGAAAAAAAATTAAACATTGTACTTCTAAACACTAAATAATTAAACAACATACTTCTGTACGGAAAATGTACCAATGGCTGTTTTTTTGGGGTCTCAGTCCCACTAATAACCTTCAACTTGGGAGCAGTTTTGTGTCTGCTGCTGCTGTTGTCACGGTGTTTGCGTCATTTCAGTGTCCGCCAGGCTCCTTCTCTTCCCTTGACATTGTCCCTTTGTGGGAATTTGGGCTGGGAGAGCAGGGCCTGGGCCTTGCAGCCGCGGGGGGCACGGTTAATCAGGGCCTGGGCGCTGCTCCCCATCAGTGACATGGAAGTAATGCGTGCACAAGAGCTGTGATCCTGCTCAGCCACTGGAGATAAATCGTAATAATTGGGTGGTGAGGCTGGGGCTGGTGCAAGGTGTGACGGCACGGACAAAGGGAACAGGAAATCGCGATACGGCGTCATATGCGTCTTCTCAACCTTCATTTTGATTGCAGCTGTCAGCGTGCCATTATGGCTCTTGAATGTGCTGTTTTATTCAGCTCAGTGTGTGGGAGATATTTTTTTGAAACTGAAACAATGCTGGAAAATGATTGGCATGAGGTTAACTTTAGGCAAGCTGCAGCTCCTGAGATCGTTGCATAAGAGACAGCAATATTAAATTACTGACAAGGGGGATTTTTGAATTAGTTAAAATTTGTGGTTTTCATCCTTGTCTTGTTCTAACACTGAAGTGAGTTAGGAGTGCTAGAGATACAGCTGAGAAGGTATATTCCCTTAAATCTAGTTCTTTCTAGCTTCGTAACAAGTAGTCTGTTTTTCTTTCATCTGTTTACTCTTTTTTAGTGCCACAGTTACATTTTTTGCAGCATTAAGGATGATAGTGCATCTTTACTGGTTTGAAATGTATTAGGAAAAGATGTTAAAATACTGAGGCAGGAGAAAAAAACCACACTGAAGGTAGCAGACAATCTCAACCAGTGAGAACAGGCATCACAGTGGTTCCATATGCTCTTTTACAGAAAACATTGGGGTTTGTAGGCACGAAAGTCTGTATTACTCAGGACTCAAAGAGATCAATTTCTCATCTGTATGCAGGTACCATGGATAAACTCTTCTTGCTTTAATTTGAAAAGAGCTCTTCAGAATTATCCAATGTATTTTTCTTCAAAGTTTATGTTACTTATTGTGTATTCTTTAGCCTTTAATAGGGTTGGTATTGGCCTAGAGGTAAAGAATGCAACTGTGTTAATTTTGGACTCATAGTTCGTAAGTTAGTAGTTTTAAGGTTATGCTAATGATTTTACTATATATGTATTTTAGCTGAACTTTTTACATTCCACATTCACCTAAAATTGAAAGTTATCTTAGTTTTTTTCTCCTTCATGAGATTATAAAACAGAAATTTGTAGTGCTAAACAACAGAGAAGCTGAACATATATACATACATAGATATAAACAAATAGGTATGGAATATATCTCAACTCTCTTTTAAAAATCATTTTAATTACACTACATCAAAGTAATCATAGGTGCATGGTGACTCACTTTTGTGTGTTCACATAAAAACATGCTCTGAGCAGCCTTAGATTTAGATTTTCGAAACTATTTGAATTCATCTTCTTACATGGCATCTTTGAAAAGGTGATATTTGCATTTGAAAAGGATGAATCAGAAATAAAACCAGATTACATAGAGACAGATATTATTTCCCCTCCCAAGTGTCTGGAGTCATTTACTGTAGCCATTAACATCTAATATGGCTTCAGGTGAAGTGTTTCTTCAATAAACTTGAGTAACATTTTTGTTTAAGGAAGGAGAAGGAAGGATCAGAAGTGGAATATTAGAAAGTTTTTTTGTTTGTTTGTTTGTTAAAGCCTTCATGCATACTTATATTGGTTCAGTTTTTTTATTATTATTACTTTAACTATTGAAAAAAAAAATGGGATGCAGTTCACCTAAATCTTGCCCAAATGGAGCCTTTCTTTTTTCCGCCCCTCTAAATCTTGTCTAAATCAAGACCACAGCATAGCTTTTGTGCTTCCTAGCCCTGCCTAAATGGATACTGAACTTACTTGTCTCCTCTCTAGGATGAAAATTTGATAAATATTAATGTAATTTTTACTTCTGAATGCTCAGAATTCTCTCTGGCAGAACAGAGAAATGTCCTATTTAGGCTTGTTTTTTTAATTCTAGGATTTAGTGAACAGAGAAATAAATCCCCTTCAATACAGTGGAAAAATCTGAAGAGCCATGGATAAAGCACCCATCCAGGTAGTGAAGGGGCAGAGTTCCTCTGAGGCTGAGGGTGCTTTATCTTTACCCTAAGGGTCTGCCTACACCAAAAAATCTCATGTTGATTCCAGATGGTGAAGTTTATAATTTTACATAAAATAGGGACTGAACCAGAAATCCTCTTGCCAAGTTCTAGCAACTTCCCTTTCTGGTTCTAGAAACCAGGTCCGACTGCCTGCATCTGGTGCTAGAGAGGATTTTTCTTTAGGTGTTTTTTACAGGAAGGTACTATCAGGATAACCATATCTGGAACTTGTACCAATATTCATTGAGAGATCTGTGGTGTTTGGCTGCACAGGGCATAGCAGCAGAGATTCTCTTCAGTTGTGTGATATTCAGTTATTAGATATATAGAGATAATTGCATAGGCAAATTCTATGGTCTGAAGTGTTATTGTAACGTAAAAATCTACAAATCAGGTAACAGTTACATTTGGGATTATGTCATTATGTCAAGTATAATTACCATGAGATTGGAAGTGCATGTGCTTAAGGAGTAATCACTGTAATTTGCCTACATAGTTGTGCTCCCCCCTTGTTGAAAAGTTCTTTGTCACAACATTTAAATTTAACTTAAATTGACCTCCACGTGTGTTTTAGTTGCAGTTCTAGCTCCTCAGTGTTCTAAACCTTAATGTTTGATGGGGAAAACAGAGAGAGGGCAGTGTGCTGGGAATGGGGAGGAAATGAAGCAACCTCTCCACAGACTCCAGCTAGTGGGATAATTTCCATAGCTGTCCAAAATAACCCTTTTTTATCTATTAAAACTGGTTTTCAACTAGCTAAGATTCTGCTAAGACCAAAGGATTTCAAAATGTCCTTGTGTGATTTACTGCCTGCCTTCCATTGCAAGGAGGTTTCATTAGCAAAATTTCATTAACAGAATTTCATACAGAAGAATCTCTAGTTCACTCAGGTTCCAACTGAGTGAGCCTTCTTTTTTTTTTTTTTTCTCTTAATGTTGTTTATTTAGGATAGATTTTTGCCAAACTTCCAAGTTACTAAATAGTGAATCTTTTTAATTCTGTTTTTGTTTGTTTGTTTCATTATTTATCAGGTTTTACCTGGCGAGATGATTACACACAGCATGTTATTGGTCAGGAACTCTCAACCATTCACAAAATCTACAGCAGACACCCTGATGTATTTGCATCTGAAAGATCTGACACAGGAAGGTGAGTCTTCTGTAATGTTTTTGCTTGGGTTTTGGAAAGGTTTGCAAATGGTCAGAAAGAGGTTGGCCCAGAAGCAGAATTTTAAAAAAAAAATCACAAAAGCTACTATCTATATGATAAAGGTGTCCACCAGTGTCCAGTGGACAGAATGAATTGAAACCCTGGACCTTGTTCTTCTGTTTATCATCAAGTTAAGGAAATACACTTTCTATTGTTAATTAAGGTGTCAGAATTCAAAACATCAAGCCTTTCATTCAGCTTATGCACTGTCAGTGTCAGTTCAGCCAAGCCTATGACCTGCTTAAAAAGACAAACTTACAATAGCTCAACTACGGGAGATATTTTATTCTGGTCTAAGCATTGAATGACATTCTGAGGGACTAATTATATTTTCAAAGTCAAAATCTTCTGAAACATGCCTATAGTTGATTTGAAGTACATAGATTCCTAGTGGTAGCTGCAAAATTTGTTCAGGAAGGAGAGGTTCCAGCAAGTTCCCATGACAGAAAACAATGTTGGGACATGGCTTGAAAGGTATTGAGGGCTGACTTTGCAGAAATTGGTTGCAAGAGACACATCAGTAATTCTGTGGAATTATATGGTTGTAGAACCTGCAATTATATCACCTTCATATACAGTTACACATATGAAGAGACTCTTTTACCTGGTATGTACTGTCCTACAGGCTTTTAAGTGCAACCTAACCACACAAACCCCAGAAGGAAATTTTAGGAACAATTAAAAATGACAAATTTTGCTTTCTCTTACATGATTTTAAGAAATGCATTCTCAAAAGTAGTTAAATTAAAAGAAAGGGCTTTTTGTTAAAACAACTTTCATCATAGTGGGATAAATTTGAGCTTTGAGCCTTGATGGGCAAAATATTGAATGTTAGTATTCAGATCTTCATGTACTGCAGTATGTGGTTTGCATATACTGCAGAATAATTTATTTTCTAAATTGTTTTGTTCTGGAAATAAAATGCTGTGTAATTGATACTTCCCAGTGTCTTCAATTGTGTTTGCCTCATTTTTTTTTATTTAATTCAGACACTTTGACTGTATTTCACGTGATTGCTGATTCAAAAGCATTTTTAAAACCACAGCACCATTTCAGAAGTGCAGTAAGGTAGAAACTTAACTTCTAAAGAAGATAGTGATCTAAAAATTCCCATAAAGGTGATAACAACATGTGGTTGAATCCATAAACATGTTTTCACTGCTTAGATACACAAAATGTCAGTATTGAATGGATTACTCTCAGTAGATGGTATCAGAAATGATCTTCAATATCTTCTGGGGATATTATTTTTAAAGGGAATACCTAAAATTTTTATTCATGAGAGTAAGACAAAAGAGGCAAAATTTCCACCAGATCAAGGTCATATTGTGCAGTATTCCAGATTCATAGTTATATAAAAATGAAAAATATAAGAAGACATAAGAAATTATTTAAGATTTAGATTGAAAACAAAAGCTCAGTTTTAGGAATTCTTGTTTTTAACAAGTTTGAGATGTTTTACATTTGTAACTATAACTATGTGTTAGAAAAAAACTGCAACATTTTATATATTGAGACTTCAGGAACATCAGAATTTCAAATGTGTTCACGTAAAGCAGTTCCTATTGTGGATAGATTTTCTGCAGTCACCAAGCTGTGCTTCTGAAAGCATTATCTTATGTGCCAACAGTTTAAAGCATTAATTGATTTTTTTGGTTGTCCATTTGCAATGTGTTTTGTAGGTCAGAGAACAGTAGGAAATCTGGTGTCTTGTAGATTCTGATCAAGTGTGTTATATGTTCAGTGTGCTCAGTGTGCTTGCTAAAATCTTATCAGATAATAATTAAATAATTTAAAAAGCAACTTAGAGTAGGTATCTAATTATCAAAGAAACATTATGTCAGGAAGACCTTTTATTAAGGGTAACGTGTGTAATAAGACAATATGAAGTCATACTAATGAGTCATTAATCCCCACAGAGCTGGTGAGAGCAGGAAAATAGACTCAGACACTTGAAAGGTAAATTGACTTAGGCTAAATTAGTGCATAAGAAATCTGATGAAACAGAAGACATGGATTTCATCTCAAAAAAAAAAATGCTGAAACTGGGAGTTTGATTTCAAGATGAAAGTTCTTTCTTTTTTGGCTAACTGGAGTGTGCTTGGTATTTCCTGGGTCCTTATTAGATTTCAAAAAACCCTCTCTTGAAAGAGGACTCAAGATAAAGGAAAAAAGTCCATTCTGCACAAAGGAAATAAATGTCAGTTGTGTTCATTGGTGCAATTAGGCAACACCACAAACGTTTCCAGCAAACTTCAATGTATGAAATGGGATATAGTATTATTTCTATAATAAAACCATAATTAATTCAGTAATAAGATACTCTCAGCATTTAAAAGGGAGATATTTATTCTAAAATTTGTGGTATCTATTAATTGGGAACATTCCAGAAATAGCAGAGGTGCAGTGGTTTAGATAAATCCACAAAAAAAGCTTCTGAAATGCTAGATTTTGTAGGAAATACATAATTATTTCTGTAGATAAATAATTATATGTGGCATTGTCTTTATACTCTTAAGTTCATTGTATGCAAAGTCATTTCTCAGAGCAAATTAAAACTTCCAAATAAGTGCACAAAAAGAACTCATTTGACAGTCATTTCTCCTACTCACCAAGTTCTTTTATATATTTGTCTTTCATCCATTTATCAGTATGACTTTGTCATATTTAAAAGAAATATTTTAATTTAGTTGCAATAATTGGTCATTTTCATTCCTGAGTTAACGAGGTGATATAGTGGTGAGCTACAAAAACTTTTTAAAATCTTTCAGATGTATTCATAGTATCTTATTAAAGCTGTCATCAAATGAAACCTAAATCTTTGTAGCCTTTTTCATTTTAATTGTTTAAATGTTTATAGCATAAAATATTACATTTAATGTGGAATGTAAATATGACTGCAATTATTGTCTCCATATGAAAAATGAGAAATTTTGGATCCCAGATTTTACTTCCACCACCAGTGAAACTGACTATATATTGAAAATAATGGTTTGAAAAGCCAACCTAAATACTGTCCTTTGTACATCCAGTTCCTGTTAGCTCCAGTGGAAATCCTTGGGGCAGAATTCACTCTGTTTATTTTTTATTTTCTCTTCCTTTAAAAATTAGTGAAGAAAGCAGAAGATAGTTGTTGGAATTAATCAATGAATGAAAGATGAGTGTTGGCAACTGGGATCCTTCCTATGAAGAAAGCCTGTTTGGATTAGTTAATCTCTATTGGAGCAGAAAGCACAGCACCCAGGTTTCCCTAAAACTGCAGAATAGTTTTGGTCTGGCTTTAAGCTGAAAAGAAGGTGGATAATGTTACCTGCATGTCCACGTTCCATCAGAAGGCAGATTTTAAAGCTCTGGAATAAGAGAAAAGCACAAACAGCATGGGTAGGAAGCAAGGCTGATGGTAAATGATACCAGGTTTGCTATAGTTCTCTCTGCAGTAACCCTTCTTTTTCCTACAGTTTGTGTCCTGGTAGGAACTTGCTGTTAGACACTGGGGAGAAATGGAGGATTTTTCTGGTGTTTCAAAGTGAGCAAACCTGTGAGCACTGTTGGTTGCAATGCCACCACAGTAAATTAGTTTATTAATTACATCTATTAGTACTGAATTAGTAGGGACACAAATTTGGTACAACTGTGAGTGTGGAAGGAAGTCTCTTAATTTTTGATTAAAGTAATATAATTAAACCCCAGCTTTGGAAAATGATATAATGGTGCTCTCTCAGGCTGTGCCTCTACATTCATGCCAAGATGTGGGCTGGTAGAATAAAATTTTATTTACAGTGGCACAGAGGTGTTGAAAGTCAAATTCATTTACTGAGCTGTAAAGCTCTTCCACCTGGAATTCTTCAGTGGAGAAGTGTGTGGGCATGTGAGTAGGAAATGGTGACACCAAAAGGTGATTTCCCTCAAACAGCTTCGCTCACAGGGAAGGAAGAGGGCTGGGAACTTTCTGCTTTCTTGCACAAGGAATGAAATAGTTACCGATGCTGACATTTAAATTATCATCACCATTTATGTGCTGTTGAGATGGATGAGGACAGCTGGTAATAATTCAGATTCATTGCACACAGCACTCTGAATCCCATATAAACACCTCCACACTGCCATCGTTTAATCACATTTCTAGCTTTTCTTTGCAAATGTCACCAAAATCTATCTAAACCACTCAGGAAACACCACTATTCTGTGAATCCTAGGCACATGAGAAGATCAGAAGAGATACTTGTTCCATCTCATTATTCCCTTTTCAAGCCTTTCACTGGAGTTTACTTGCTCCACTATTTCTGCATATCCAGTAGTCTTTCTTCTGTTCTTTACATTGGTGCAGGGCCAAATGGATATTGAATATCATCATCATCCAGCAAGTTTTTTAAATCTTAGAACAATCTCATATTTCTTTGGGGTGCAATCTAATCATGTGCATTTTCTTTTTACAAGCATTTTCTTTTCTTTTGAATATGGCTTTGCCTTGATGTGGCATTTTACTTGATTTACTTTAGAATCGTTAACTTTGATTCATGAAATAAATTGTTAATATTGCAAGATTTTTTGACTGTTTCTGCTGAAACATTGACTTTTCTATAGTTTTATGGTTGCTAAGCTTTTGAGTGACTTTTTGTTATGTATTGAACGACAGCAGCGTGCAGTACCTTTTTAGTTGGCCACTTTGTCCATTGGACAGGCTGGTAACCTTCTTTTCCTTCCTTTTGCTGTGCAGGACTTTGGGACAGAATGAAGACAATGAAAGAAATTATGATGTAGAAAATGATGTGAACTTGGCCAAGTCTCTTCAGCAATACCTTAAATATCTCAGAATTCTCTCCCAGTCTTCATCTAAAAATTTGTATCCAAGGAAGACAAGTGACAAAGCTTCTGTCAAGGTAGTATTTTTAATGTGGTTATTACATTTTGTGATTTTGGCTTCCTTTTTCTCTGAGTTCTCATCTTTGAAATTTCCCCTCTGTCTGAAGACCAGACATTGTTTTTTACTGCCTCCTCCAATTGATTATCATAAATGCACTAAGTTTCTTAAAATTAATCACCATCAGCTTTGTAAATGCTTCAGCTCATTAAATCTGGAGCATTTTACCCTAATTAGGGATGGATTGCATGTGATAAAGAAGGAAGAGTGGGATAAAACTGGTAACATCTTGACTGGCTGATCTGAAACCTCTGCATTTGAACTACTCCTCTCCAAAAACCTGGCTGAACTACCATGTGAATTCTTCCTGGTGTTTATGCTGCTTAGGGTACAATTCACATAATCTTTTAGCAGATTTAATAATGGGTCTGATAAATTGTGCCTCAATATTTCCTACTTCTTATTGATCACAAGGAAAGCCAACTGTGACCAGTTAAGGTTCATATGTATACATTATAAATGTACAGATAGCTGGGAAGATAAATCACAACTATTAAATCTTGAGTGTCGACTATGTCAAAAGCCACAAACACGTCTATTTGAGAATTAAAGCATTTTTCCCCTTCCTTCCTAGAGAAAATCTGTCTCACTCCAAGATGCAACTTGATAAATTTATTCAAATTATTGGATGAAGAGCTTCCATACAACAGGCCCTTATGGCCCTGTATCTTTTGCTCAGAAGATGTGCACTCTTTGATTATAAAGAACTAGGCTGCCATTACAGCAATTCTTTACAAGAAATTGTCTGTGTTACTTCAGTGCATACAGTATAAATGCAAAATTTGCTAAAAAATATACTGAAGTTTTAAGAAAAGTATCTGGTGAAGGGACTCCAGTATCAAAGCCAAACTGCTTTGGTTTAGTTCAGGGATTCACTCAGAGACACCAAGCCGCTGTGGTATCTGCAACAACAACTCCTGGTGACAGCACCAGTTGGAGCAACCATTTAGTCAAGGTTGTTATTGTTGTCAGAAGCACAACTTCACAACTTCCCAGTTTCTGACTGACTTACATACAGCACATATGATTTATGGCACATGTCATCAGGTGCTCATCTGAGGCAAGAGGAGCTTTCAGGCAGAGGTAAGGCAGCTCTGAGGAGGAATCAGGGACCACTTTGATGGTGCTTTTCCTCCACTCTCTGCTGCAGTGAGGATGCTCTGTTTTGAATCACCAGCTTTCAACAAAAACTTGCTCAAGAAGTAATTCAGTGGGGCTGGTGTTGTCATGCAAGTTCATAAATAATCCATATGGCTGAGACCTTCTGTGGGGAAGCCTGCTGTGATAACACCACCCACCAACCTTATCGAGTGTTGCCATGGAGATGGGTAGTCTGAAGCCTGGGGGAGTGGGATAAAGAGGAGAAAATCTGGAAATGAAGCACATATAGGAGCAAACTGTACACTTTTATTTACTAAGGAGCATCTTGAAACAACAGACATTGAGTCAGATGTGTTACCTATAGTTTAAAATCAAAAAAGCAGAAAAGGAAAATTATTTTAAAACTAGTGATCAGCCATGAATTTTAAATGATCCTGAAGATGTTTCCCTATCCTCGGCAAATAAAATGTAACTGCTCTTGAAAAAGCGAGAGGGACATGGTATTTTTGTCTTGATTCATTGTTTTATTAGTGAAATAGCATTTAAACAAGAGAGAAGCCAGCACTTTTGCTGCTCCAAGAAGCAGAATAAAACTCATAAAATTTAACAATTTGAAAAGAGAAGGTGGAAACTAACTGAATGAGCTACCTCTGGTATGGTTGTGCTTCTTGAAATTGGAGATAGCTACCTTACTTTAATTGCAAGCTTCAACAAAATATTGGTACCTTATTTTTGTATTTAATATATAAATAAATTGCAAACCCACATTAAATAATTGTAGGAAGAGCTTTTAAACTTTCTTGTCCTTTTCTGATTAAAATAAGCACAAGCCAGAGGTACTTTACCCAACTTAGAACTGCAGCTTTTGGGCTTTGTCCTTCTTTAAAATAATTTTCTTTCAAGTATATATTTACCTCTGTCACTTCATTCCTGCTGTTGGGGAGTAGGAGATGTAACACTGCTGTGGTTGCTTTGATGTTTTATGTGCTGTGAAGTGTAGCTGAATCTTGCAGAAATTTAGTGCTTCTTGACAGACTTCCTGTGTGGATTCAGGTTTCAAGTCTGACATCAGTGGTCTCTGGCCAAATGTAAAACAAAGGAAGATAAAAGATAAAGAGGTTTTAAAATACTTATACTCTGAACGTGTTATTTGGTATCTTAACATTAATATATTTTACGAACTTTAAGTTTTCACTTGCCCTACTCTCTTCCAGTTGTCTTATCAGAAAAAAAAACTACAGAGCTTAAAAATTACGGGATAGATACCACACATACAGTTATGCAGAAATTTGTAAAATAAAACATCACAAAACTTAAAGCAGGTAACTCCTTTTCCCTTGTTCAAACAACTGTCAACTTGAGTCTTGATACAACAGTGACAGAAATAACACCAGCAAACTAAAATCATGTGATTGACCAAAATTTCTATGGTGTCTACCCCTTACTGCAAGCACTTCTTTGGGTAATTTTTGAAGCACTAGAAGTTCATCACTAACTTAGAATTATTTCTCAGTATTTAGGCAGTATCTACTGTAGGCTGTAATCTAGACAGCTGATAATGATTCTGCCAGGGAATAAATAGCAGCAAATCAGAAGTTTGGTGGGTCTGTTTCCCAAGGGTTACAGTTGTAAAGAGCATTTCATTATAGTTAGCTGAAAAGAGTTGTTCAGGAAATGGGCACTTGGTGGCATTTGTTACTTAAGCATTAGCTAGTGGGATTTTGTGTTTGGTTTCCTTGGTCTTCCCCGCACACACACTTGGGCTTTATGGAAGTTTTACGATTCACAAAATGCTGAATTATCAGTCTTCGTGATTCCTTTCTAACAAACCTGGATGCAGTATAGAAAATAACAAATAGCCACAAATAGCTACAGAGGTAAGAAATGCAGAGGCTTCAAATCAAGTGTGAATAGCCCTGCCCTTCTCCCCTCCAGCTGGAGCAAACCCCTCTAATATCAAAACACCCAAACCCCTGAAAAACCCACTGAACTGTTTACATTCCTACAGAAACTGAGGCTCAGGGTTTTGTTGGATGTGGAAGACAGCATGTAGCTGGTCTTACCAAAACTTACTAAAGCTCAGCTCAGAGGCTGTAAAGGAGAACTTGCTGGCTTTGCTGCTGGTCTGTGTGCCTGTATTGAATAGTTACGGGAGATTTCAATTGTGCTGCTTTCATCTGACCGAGAAAATTTTTTAATCATGACGGAAAGAGAACTTACTTGAAACCTGACATGAATGTACTTCCTGCTGGACAGGCTGTAGGAATAAGGAAGTTGCCATCACACTTGTGCTGTGGCTGTATTTCTTGTTGCAGGAATCTCTGTTCTATGGTTTTTGTTTTGTGGCTTGAAGATTAATGGAATTGATTCTTCTTCTTCCTGACTTGCCCTGTGAGGGCTTTGGATGGAGTTGGCCCTACCTGCTGCTGAGGTCTTTGCCAATGTGCCATTCAGGCCCTCGTGGGTAGGATGGGGAGAAAGAAAAATATGTCAGATACATTAGGGAATTTCATGAATTTTCTGTTGTTACTGTTTTTTGTGTTTTAGGTACATTTTTTTTCGTGGTAGACTTCTTGTGTAGATATTGTGATTACAGAAATCTCCACATCTTAGGTATTCTTATAAATTTTGAAGCAAATATTTCTGGGGAAAAACCCCACAGAATCTTTACATCAAAGAAGGGGCTAATAAAGTTAAAGGCCTTTTCAAAATCATGAAGGGGAAAGGAAGCAGGTAAAGTGACTGGTTAGTGCTAGAGAGTTGTAGCTCAGCAGTGCAGTGATTCAGGAAGGGAAGAACCTGCAAGTAAAAATTGTACAAAATAAAAATTCATATATTTGCTGGCCTAAAAAAATCAATTGAATCTTTGTAATTGATCACCAAAAGAACTAGATGTATGATAATTATTTTGAAGCAAATATTAAAACAATAAAGGATTATTATTTATTTTAGAAAATCTGAGTACATTAATGCTCAAAGATATACCCTGAGCTTATCTGCAAATAATAATTACTGTGATTAACTATAAGAAATTACTTAGTCATTGCAAATTTTAGCCTAGAACTTTAATTCAAAAAAACAACAGCACACTTATTTATCTAACACTGATTTAAACACAGGACTGAATGAAGTTTATCAAAATTTTGACAACATGTCAAAAAACTTGTGCTGTGTATATATTTAAACCCTATTTATATAAAGATAAAATTTAATATTTCATATATAAGGGACTATGTATAAGAAAATGTAATCCAGCTGTACATGAACACTTTCATAAAAATATTTCTGAAATAATTTATAAAGGAATGTTTCCTTGAAGCTACAGAACTGCCTCTCCATTGGCATTCTTATGAAATGATATCTGAACACTTCCCAAGCATTTGTGTATTCATTTACCTAAAGCCCTTACAAGGTGGGGAAGAACTAACCCCCCTACTTCACAGACAGTTTAGACAGATTTTCTGAGGTCATGCAATAATTTTTTGGTAAAGTGTAGACTAAAAGCTAAGCTTCAGATCCCAGAAAAGTATTTTGTCTTTCAGATCATTCTCCTCTTCATTGCTCTTTATAGAAAAATAAAAACATTAAATCCTCCTAAGAAAAGCCAGCCAACACACGTACACAAAACACCCCAAACTAACCAATGAAAAACCCCACAAAATCCAAAACCAAACCAAAACAACTCCAAAACCCAGCAAACAAATCCCCATAACCACTGGAGCAGAAATCATTTGACCGTATAAAGATGTCTGTATTGCTTCAATGATCAATGGAGGGAAAAAGAGAGTTTTCAAGTTGTGATCCATCTGTTTTAATATAAGTATATAAAATGAGACACTGTAATTCCCATCCTTTCTG